ATAACCATTGAAATCGACATGAACTATCAAACATCACAAATTATTAAACCACTTCAGGAGACCTATTTCACAAATAGCTGCAGTGATTTCGTCAAGAGCGAGACTTGTCTCCCCCCGCCCCACAAACAGTGACTCATTTTCTACCATCATTTAGTTCACTGCTCCAATTACCATGGTGACCAAGGTCAAGATAGAGGTGACAGAGATGGAACACTACTGTAAAACAATTTATTCTGACATTTTGAGAAATTTATACTGGGTTTTAATCTTTTCATCACCAGTTCCCACTTTTCATCAAAAATAGTCCAGTTTATAGTCTGCACTTTCCTTCAGAAGACAGGGCCAAAATAGCCAATTTTTTTGAGTGAAAAATGAAAATTGACTCAAATTTTGTCTGTTGGCTCCAAAACTAGGGTTCATTTCCAGAAATAATGAATATGTGAAAAAAGTGTAGAAACATTTGGTGGAGTCTGGTAGTTAAAAGGTTAATAAGTTCATGAATTTACCAGGGAAATAACAGGTTCCATTGTCATTGTCACATAAATTAAATTTAGCTAAGTTAAAACTCAGTAAATAATTAATGCATTTACAGTATTTTAGGATCGAAATCTATTTTGTTCTTCTCTCAATAGGATTTTGATTATCGTTATTTGCATCTATGGTCTATTTTAGGAGACAAATTTTTACAAGTCAGTGAATCGCAAAATTCTGCAACTGGAGTCCTAAAAACAAGGTTACTGAACTTTCATAAAATGTTAATCACCAACGTTCAGTAAATCTTGCATTATATTTGCTCTATTTTTGGCACATGTACTTAGAAGAAGTGCCCATGGTCAAAATAAATCATAATTTAATGATCCAGTATTTAATAAATGCAATTTTTTGCTGTAATGGCACTTCAATTAAAAATCCGATTCTAATAGGGCAAATACAGTAATTAGCTGGAAAACAATGTTCCAGTGAAAATTCATGCTACACATTCATTTGGCATAATTCCTCAGGGCATTCCAGGAAGTAATCACACTCTTGAAGAAACAATGTACTCATTTTTGTTATTTTTTTAAATAATTTTTATTAATGAATTGTTTGTAGTTTTCCTTCATTTTCATAAAAAGGTGCATTATATACAATAATGCACTCACTCATCACCATATGTAGGAAATTTACATGATAGCTTTAAATTTGAGGTCATTTTTTTTAATATGGCAATAAGTCCCTGGTATAAAAAAAGACAATGTAAGCAAGGGCTTGGTTTGATTTTTCTGTATTGTAGTTTACTCTCTTCTGAGTATTATGTATGGTAATCTTGTTTAACAAAAAACAAAACAAAATCTGTATTACAGACAATGTACAGAATAATCTTTTTAGCCTTTTAAAGGTTTTCTGTGATTGGCTGAAAGATTTCAGCCAGATAGGGGTTTCCAGAATGCGAAATATGTCAGATATAATTACATGTGATCAAGCTACCACACAGAGAAATGTAGATAGAGTCAATATCTAAATGTACATCAAATTACTGTGAAATGGTTGAGAAGCAAGCGCTGTAGAACCAGCTAAATACTGTTCAAACAATAAAATATACAGGCGGGGTATAAAAACTTAATAAAGCAGTACATGATAGAAATAGCTTTTTGATCTGTGAAAAGATCACATAAACATACAGTACTGGTGAAAGTGAAGTTTCATTTCAAAAACTATATCTGGTATTTGGCTAAAAAATTAAAATTAAAAAAAAAAAATTGTATTAGCTTTATACTAATAATTACTATGATTTTGATTTGATTGAGGAATATTAAATAACAAATAAATTAGAAAATCAATTAATAAAATCACTGAGTTTATGAAGTATTTGGTCATTTGCGGTAATCCTATCTGGAAGGTAGCCATACAAGCCTGATTTTCCACAATTCTATGGTTTGTCAAAATTCATTGCAAACACATTTTAAGGTTTACAAAAAAAAAATATACAACATGTGACTTTCATGACACAAATAGTCACACATCCCTAAAATTTGTATGAGGGGTGGGGGTGGGGGTGGGGGTGATTATTACATCATAATTGAATTAATCATGATCTTGACTGAATATCAATAGCGCAGTTGTGTCTTCTATACCACACGGAACAAACAGACCCAAACAAAATAACTTTGAGACTAAACAGCAACATCGCTTACGTTGTCATAGTAAACCTAGATTTACACATATTTGCACATTTGGCAATTAAATAAATTTCAAATCATTCTGTGTACTTGAATTGACATACATTACAATATTCACGTTCACAATAATATCAATCTTATATTATATGAATACCTTGCATTGGTTCTCAATCTAAACCTTGTCAAGATAGAGCTTCTGTCAAATATTTCATTTCCCAGTATAGTGTTCAAGTGTTTAGGCAGTGAATTCTCAGGTAACAATTTATAGTGTTCATCTGAAATGAACATGTTCAGGACAGTGATTTGAACATGTAAGTAGTAAGTACACTGTTTAACAAAAGATTTATGACAATGTGAATGTGTTCAACAATGTGTTTATTGATACTGCCCAATATGTATTCCACCTGTTTAACAATGTGTTTAATATGACACTGTTCAACAAGAATGTGTTCTACCTGTTCAACAATGTGTTTAGTATGACACTGCTTAACAAGAATGTGTTCTATCTGTTCAACAATGTGTTTAGTATGACACTGCTCAACAAGAATGTGTTCTACCTGTTCAACAATGTGTTTAGTATGACACTGCTCAACAAGAACGTGTTCTACCTGATCAACAATGAGTTTAATTATGTTGCAATTCAACCCAGCAAATTTGTGATAATTTGAAATCCATCAATGGGTTTCAATGGGACTATTTCATATACAATTTATTAGACAAGTCTTGATGAATCATGAATAAAAATCGTGATAAATCAACATTTTAAAAATAAGAAAAATGATTAAATAGCTCCATGAAAAGCTTAGATTGAGAATAATTTTCAAACTTCCTTTTCAGTAGATACAAGTATACATTATTGGGGGAATACAAGAATATTTACAATTATTATTCAACCCTCTGAGCACCAAGTCAACTTCGGGCACCATCCACAAAATAGTTCCATTTGTAGTCTGCTTTTTTCCTAAGAAAATGTTGATGGAAATTTTGTCTGTTTGGTCCAAAATTTTAATTAAATTCAATAAAAATTACAGAAATGTTAACAAATTTACCCTATTTTGAGTAGAAACAAATTTAGTGCTCAAAGGGTTAATATACACATCATCATCATCATCATCATTTTGTATCCACAAATAAATCAAATATTTTAAAAAATTTGAAACATAATTAAAGTTACAAATCGGATTTGAAAGAGAACCTCATTGTTTTCACTTAGATGTCCCCAGTAACCTATTCTTGTGTCTACCAAGTGAATGTCCAGCAAAGACTCATATCTTTAATCTCCTAGTATGCACACCCCAAAAAACTACAATATCTAACAGAATTTACCAATGACAGGCAATATACAGGTCATGTGACAGAATGCACCAATGACAGACAATATACATGTCATGTGACAGAATGCACCAATGAGTGGTAATCTGCAAATCATGTGACAGAATGCACCAATGACTAGCTATGCTGGAGAAATGAACTATGCTGAACATTCACACAATTCTTTTTACAATTTCATTTTTAACACCAATCACAAATTCTCCCTCAATAGATTCTGTAAATATTTACAAACGCAACATTTCTCATCAATATCCTCTATACTATACACACCCATGTTCCTAAATGGACTAGTCCATGTACATGAAAATGCCCCTGGAACAAACCATTTGTTAGTTATATTGAGGGATGTGGTGTAACCTCCAAATACTTCTATACAAATCAATCATTAATACTTCATTTGTCAATATATTCATGATCTTCACTTAGAAAACAACATTTTACAGAAATGCATTAATCTTGCATTTTGATTGCAACGTTTTTTGCGTAACATAAATACAAATTAAATTACACTATTTAATTTAATATTACGAATACAAGATCTGATAGCCTCATTTTGTTAGACACTTGGAACATTAGCCAATATAAAAAAACATGTTTTAATTTTCTGATTTTTATTTCTACTACAGCACCACAAAATGTATTCAGATATCATCCAGTGTAGAGGTCGCTATTAGAAGTCATGGTAGTGGAATTGGCTGACCTCTACTGTTTGTGAAACCAACAACCAATGGGAGGGTTGATTAAGATGATTATTATAAATTACCAGAAAAATACATCTCAAAGGCAACAACTTCCTTTTTCCTTAGATTCCAGACTTGTCTTGAAAACATCATCATCATCACTGTACACTTGGAACAATGGTTTGTAATTCTTTGTATTAACATAGCTACTGTAGCAATTGTATAACCTAAATCTCAAATCATAGAGCTCCTTGGAACGAGTAGCGTTACCCGATAGATGTCGTTGAATCACTCTGCTTAAATAATCGGTGCTAAAAATTTCTATCATGATTACATGTGAAGTACAGCAACAAATTACACATGCTGCGTATGGTCCTTGAATGACAATAATCCTGAACTGGTATTTTATTATATTCCCTTGTTCTATGTGATTTCAAAATTTCAGAAATCTTGAAGCGATGCAGCCATAGACATGTTCAGGCATGTGAGTTTGAACTTGACTATTACATCACCTAACTTCTGATCTGAAGATAGCATCTTCCTTAGAGTTCAGAGTAAAGCAGCACATTCAGGAAGAACTCGTATGTATAAATACGGAAATGTAATAATTCCGTTTATATCTCAATAAAAGTTCGCTAGCACAATCTGTGCAAAGTTCATTGTCATAAATAAAATTCTTGGCCAAAAAAAAAAAGGTTCCGACATAAGAAAACCCAGTTTGTAATAGTTTTAAAATGGGCTAATACATTCTGTGTATATTTCTTTAAAGACATAAAGATTAGCTTTCTCTGTATTTACTAAATATATTACAGTGTGATCTCATTGGCTGTCAAAGCTCAACTCGTGGTCTGTATTGCAACATCAGAGGGGATTCCTGAAAGAAGACAGTAACATTGTCAGATATCAGCACATATCAGATATTAGTCACACAGCCATAACCCCTCATTGCCCAACAGTACCAAATCCCTCATAGTCCTTAAACTTAAACACTACCTTAAACCCTCATAGCGACACAGTACCAAATCTCTCTCAGCCCGGAACTGCTTCAAACTCATTCAGCCCCACACTACCCCAATCCCTCTCAGCCCCACGCCACCCCAACCCCTCTCAACCCCACGCTACCTCAACCCCTCTCAGCCCCACGCCACCCCAACCCCTCTCAGCCCCACGCTACCTCAACCCCTCTCATCCCCACGCTACCCCAATCCCTCTCAGCCCACACTACCCCAACCCCTCTCAGCCCCACACTACCCCAATCCCTCTCAGCCCCAATCTGATTAAAATCTGATGTAGTGTACGGGCTTTAATTATTTTGGCTATAAACTTATTTTAATTTTAATTTTTATTACTTTTGTTATTAATGCCATTTTATTTTATTTTATTTTATTTTATTTTATTTTATTTTATTTTATTTTATTTTATTTTATTTTATTTTA